GGGGGGGGAAAGAGAAGTACAACAACTAAGCTTCCCTGTGATGAAATGAGTTGTTTTTCATAAGTTGTCAGGCTTTTTGGAGACTGTGTAGAGGTGTTTCAGACTTTATGTTGGCTTTTTTTGCTCCAGATTTCTGTTGTGGCATCCCTCTGTGCTACTACATGCAGATCTAATTCATTCTCTCGATTTTTACCATGAATAGTGGCAAGCTTCCTTCCGTCTGTTTACTCCTGTGCCCATTGATGGACTTTTAGGTTGTTTCCAGTGCTTTCGCTGATTCAGACAGTGTGCTGTGGTGTTCCTGTGGGCCTGCTTTTTGCTGGGCTGATGGGGGCGGCCATCTAATACATGGAGTCCAGGAGGCAGGGTACCTGGCTGCTCAGTGCATGGACATTCCCAGCCTCTAGAAATAAGAACAAGCTGAGTAATCACTTTCTGCCTCAGTTTCCCAATCTTTAAAGTGGAGATGATGATGATAATAGTAGGTGAGAGTGGAATTGCTGGGTTAGCAGGAATGCCGATTAAACATTATTTTAGCTAACTCTTGCTAGACCCAGAGAGCTAATTTATCTTTAAGGGTGAGTTCCTGTTTTGTATCTATGGGTAGCTTAGGAGGGTCAACAAGTGAGTACTGGGGAGAAGTATGGGTATGGGGGTCACTAACAGCTGGGAGACAGTTGCATGGACCCTGAGGAGACCCCATGGGAACCCTAATCGAAGCCCCCAATCTCATTTCCTCCTCTCGACTCAACAAGGGGCACTCTTGTTACCCCCGTTTTGCAGAGGAGGAAATGGGCTCAGAAAGGCCAAGCAACTTGCCCAAGGTTTCCCTGGAATAAAAATCTGGGCTGCATGAAATTTTAATTCCCAGGAAAAATGAATTCTCACTTTTTGCATATATTATATTTGTGATCTGAATGCTCAAAAGTCTTAGAGCCACTTGATGTTAAGAGAGTAAGAGACACAACTACCACCGGAAGATTCTTAGGAAAGGACAAATAGGCAAGTGCTGGAAAAAGGGGCGGGTGAAGCTGACGCTGTGTAGACAGTGACCTAAAGTTTGAGTCAAAACAAGCAAGCCCTGCACTTGCTTTGGCGTATTCCGTTCTCCTCACTGACCCTCGAGGTCATGCTCAGAACCCTGTCTTCCAGCCCAGGCTCAGGAAGGCTAAGTGACCTCCTTAAGGCCACATAGAAATTACGCTCCACATCTGGCCGGTTCCAAAATTTATGCTTTTCCCAGTAAAAAGAAAAGAGCGCTACTTCAGTCAGTCAGCAACGCTGTCTTTACTCGTGCCTTTGTTCTTTTTGAAATTAAAAAAGTTTGTTTATGAAAAATAGAAAGAATATATAAGAACCCCCATGTACCTATCACTTTGATTTGACAATTGTCAAGATTTTAAAAAAATTATAGGTGTCATAATATCTTACTACTAAATATCTCAGCATGCATGTAAAAAAAAAAACAATGAAAATCACAATTCTTTTATCTTGAGAATATAAAAAATAATTCTTAATGTCATCTAGTTCCAAATTCAAGTTTCTGCAATTATGGCAAGAATTTTTAAGCCCAGTTTGATAACCGTGAGTGTTTTCTCCTGGGAGCGGTGGTGAGGTGGGAGTTGGGAATCTGACTGCTATGCCCACTGAGGCTATGATCGCGCATGTATCAGAAACCTTGCTTTCCTGGCCCTGGTTTCTCCGCCTGTACTCTGAGCTGGCTCATGTAGCTGGTCTCTCATGCCCCAGCCACTTCGCCTGGCTGAGTGCACCTCTTCCTCTTTGGGCTTGTGTGACTGTTTTGGGGAGCCTTGGGAGAGGTCTTCTGGGTGGGAAGCCTGCTTTCTGGGGGGCCAGAGAGCAAAAGTCACATAGGGTGAGGGTTCCTGGTGGTTCAAGGGCTGATCTGGGCCCTTGCATTATATGGAGTTTCTAGGAACAAGTAAATCTGTCTCCTTCCAACATGTACTAACCAGAGGTTACCAAATGGTGGCCCATGGCTAGATTCAGCGCCAGGTAGGTCTATTGTGTACCACACAGCATAAGGGGAGAAAATTGGGGGATTTCACACACAAAACTCCAGATTTCCAGCTTCTTGTGAAAAAAATTGGAAGATCTAGCAACCCTTGCCTGGGGTCAGTAGTAGAGCCCTCTCTAAGCCTTGTCGCAGTCCCCACCACTCTCTATTGTCCTTCCAACATGCAGCTGCTCTATTTTTCACTATACTTGCTTGCTCTACTGTTTTTTCTTATGTTGAGAAATAATTCTCCAAATCTGTGTCTATTACAAAAATAGGAAAACAAAAACTAGAACAAGATGGCCACGTGCTTTTCCTATACAGTGGGAGGCAATGAGGGGGGAGTGAAAGAGGGTTAGGGAGGCCCTTGGTTAATGGCAGACAGCCTCTAGGTGAGCCCTGGAGAAAGAATGGGTTGAGCAGTTTAAAAAGTAGCTCAGGTTGTTTCAGCCCAGCTGGGCAGCAACCAGCCTCCTTCTGTTCTTCCATTAAGTCCTCTCCCAGAGCCTAAGGCCCTGGGTTGAGTTGAAACTACGGGACAGAGAGGTCGGGCAACCCACCAACATTGCACAGCAAATAGTGCAGCCTCTGCTCTGGGCAAGCCAGAACCCGGATTATCTGTCAGGTGCTTAACCTGTGCTAGCTCCCTTAACACTCTTAGCAACTGCTCATTGAGCACCAACTGTGTACACGATTCATTCATCTGACACATTATTAGGCACCTACTGTGGGCCAGGCAATGTTGGTGAGCAACTAGTGCCTGTCTTTGTGGAACTTTCATCCAGTGAAGGTGGGATACTTTAAAGAGACACAAAGGTGGGTGAGATCCATCCTTGACCCTCTCCCCTGATTTGCAAAAGGTCGAGTAGAGGGACAGGACAGGTGGTGGGGTTGGCGGTAGGGTCTGTGAGTGAGGAATGGGTAGTTTTGGGAGGACCCCACACGATGGGAATTAAAATTACAGGGGAGAGTGAGAAAAGGTGCCTTGGTGTCTGAACCAGAAAGGAAGGCAACAATCAGCTGTGTGGGCAGGAGCCCTGCATCCCTGCTCCCCCCACCCCAAAAAACAGTGAGAGTGTCAGAGGGAGAGGCTAGTGACCGCAGACCCCAAAATAGAGCCTCCTTCCCCCCTCCTGGCCTGGCTGAGTCACACTGGAATGTGAGTTAGATTGAGGGCCTGGGCTGGAGCAGCCCGCGGCAACACCAGGGGTCGGATGCCTGGGCGTCCAGCTTCCTGCCTTTGTCCGCACCTCCTTGGGGCTTTTCTGGGGAAAGATGAAAGCTGCCAGAAATAACACCTGGCTTGCTGGGGAGCTGGATTGAGGGGATAAAGGGCAGGAAAGGAAGCCCCGGCCCCACCGCATCCCTACAGAGGTTTTAGGGGAAGATTTCAGGCCCTGCATTTGGGCAGGTCGCTGAAACCCCTCTATGACTTAGTTTCCTCATCTGCAAAGTGGGGATGCAAATGTCCACTTGGGGTGACTCGGGGCCAGGGTAGCACCTCTACAGCCAGACCTGCCTAGAAACTCAGATGCTCTGCAGTGACTCAGCCCCTCTGCCTCAGTTTCATTTGCTGTCAAATGGGCTTGATGGTAATCATTCCTTTCTCGAGTGGGACACAGCCAGGGCTCATTAGCCACTACTACCAAGCAAGGGGAGCTTTGGGAAATGCTTAGCACCTGACGCTGTTATTCAATAAATGACACCCGGGAGTCTCATTGGTCCTGCTTCTCAGGCCCACCCAGCTGCTCCCCAATCACGAGGTACCAGGCACTCACTGTTCTTTCCATAACTGCCTTCATCTGCATCACAGCCTGATGTGGTCAGTAGTATTGTCACTCCCCTTTTACCGATAAGAAAACCGAGGCATGGAGAAATAAAGTCACACAGCCAGCAAGAGCATGGCTGGGATTTGAAGCCAGGAAGTGTGGTGCTAAAGTCAGGCTCATAACCACCATGCCCTCCTGCTGCTTGTGGAGAAGCACTGCTCCTGTGCCCTGTCTCTCTGGGCTGGTACGCACTGGGTACCAGGTTACTCCAACCCCGGGGCTCTGCCAGCGTCCCACCTTACCTTTCAATGGAACCTTCTGGAGAAGTGGCCTTGACCCAGGGGCTCACAAAATGATGAGGGGAAAGGGAAGGCCCCAGTACCTCTCTGGTGGCCCCTCAATGATGGGCTCAGAGGCAGAATGGGGGCTGGGGAGAGAGGAGGAGGTGGCTGGGGGAGGCACTTCCCGGTGCTCTCAGACCTCATCTCTGGTTCTGCTCCCATATTTCCCAAACTCTGGCTCTCAAATCTGACCATTCTCCCTATTCACCACCTGTGCTACCCTTTGGGTTACTTTGAGGGGGCAGGGTAGGAGGGGAGGAGGGAGGGGGAAGAAAGATGAAGAGAAGTTGGTGGTCCCCTGGACTCCTGGAAGTGGGGGAGTTGAATGCCGAGACTGGCTCACTGGCAACCGTGGCCTACGCTTCCACCATTATTGCTCTCCTGGATGATCACAGTAGTCTCCTAACATATCTCCCTGCTGCCTCTCTCTGTTGCAACCTTTTAAAAGCATAACCACATCACTTCTCAACTCCCACTAAAACCCTCCAGAGGATCCCCATCGCACTTGGCGCACAAGCCAGACTCTCCTTGGTTTTCAGGTCCTCGAGGTCCACAGGTCATCTCCAGTATCATCTCCTACCTCTCACCTCCGCATTCTCTGCTCCAGCCACTGGCTTCTGCTGTCGTAAAAACCTCACCAAGTGCTTTCCCACCCCAGGACCTTTGCACTTGCTGTTCCCTCTGCCTGTAATGTTTCTCTCTCCTCTCTTCCATTGTACTTCCTTCTCACCCTTGGGTCTTAGCTCACATGGTCCCTCCTTGGAGAAGCCCTCCCTGGCCATGTTCTCTAAACTAGCCCCTCACTAGCTCATAACACCCTTCTTTTCTTTTCTTTTCTTTTCTTTTCTTTTCTTTTCTTTTCTTTTCTTTTCTTTTCTTTTCTTTTCTTTTCTTTTTCTTTCTTTTCTTTTCTTTTCTTTTCTTTTCTTTTCTTTTCTTTTCTTTTCTTTTCTTTTCTTTTTCTTTTCTTTTCATCAGCTTATTGTGTTCATTAGATTCCACATATAAGTGAGGTTATATTTGTGGATATTTGTGAGATAAAATACACATAATATAAAATTCACCCTTTTAAAATATACAATTCAGTGGTTTTTAGTGTATTCATAGTGCTGTGCAACTGTCACCACTATCTCAGTCCTGAGTATTTTCATCACTCCAAGAAGAAGTGCTCCCCCTGTTAGAAGTCACTCTCCATTCCCCCTCCCCTCAACCCTTGGCAACGACAAATCTACTTTCTATCTCTATTGATTTGCCTTTTCTGGACATTCCATAGAAATAGAATCACGCAGCATGTGGCCTTTTGTGTCTGGCTTCTTTCTCTTAGCACAGCAGTCTGGAGCTTCTTCCACATTATAGCATGATTTAGAGCTCCATTCCTTTTTAATGGCTGAATGATGTTCCCGGGCATGCGTAGACTACATTTTGTTTATCCATTCATCAGTCAGTGGACATTTGGGTTAGCTCCACTTTTTGCCTTTATGAATGATGCTACTATGAACAGTAGTGCACAAGTTTATGTATGAACGTACATTTTCAATTTTGGGGGGGATATATTGCTGGGGTCATATAGTAACTCTGTTGAACCTTTCTAGGGACTGCCAGACTGGTTTCCCAAGCAGCTGCACCGTTTTGCATTCCCACCGGAAATACATGCATATTTCAGTTTCGCCACGTCCTTGCCAGCACATTCTCCTGCCTTTTTTTTTTTTTTTAATGAGGCTCATCTTAGCGGGTGTGAAGTGGTACCACATGTGGTTTTGACTTACATTTCCCCAGTGACTAATGATATTGAAGGTCTTTTCATGTGTTTACTGGTCATTTGCATGCGTCTCTTCTTTGGAGAACTGTCCAAGTCCCTCGAGCATTTTTAAATTGGATTATTTTTCTTTTCATTGCTGAGCGGCATCTTCTTTATTTTCTTTATCACACTTCTCACTCTTGGAAACGATTTTGCTTGTTTGTTTTTTGTCTCCCTCTCATTAGTATGTTCACCCAGTGACCTTGTCTGCCCTGCTCACTGCTGTGTCACAGCACCCAGAATGGTGCCTGCTTCATAGTTAATATTTGGTGAAGGAATGAATGACTCCACAGTGAGAAGGAGAGGTGGGATGACTCACACACTCATTCAGCAGACAGGGAGCCTTCTGCATCCCTGTGGTTCTGATAATTCTGAGACTAAAACATGGGTCCTAGCCTGGGTTTAGGGGCCTCCAAAGGGACCAGTGTGAGCACCAGCTCTACAATGTTGTGAGGCTAATTTTGTGATTATGATATACCTCTCCTTAGCTAACAGTCCCTCCCTCAGAGGGTGGGGGGGGATGACAAGGGCCCAGTTGGAATGCAATGCACATTTGAGTGGATTAGTTTTTATCTTTCGATGCACAACAAAGTATCACACAGCAGCTTAAAACAGCACCATTTATTAGCTCACGGTCTGCTAGGTCATAAGTCAAGCACGTTGTACCTGGGTTCTCTGCTCAGAGCCGTACAAGGCTGAAATCAAGGTGTAGGTGAGGAACCTGCCTTCTGTCAGGAACCTCCAGGGAAGAATCTGGCTGAATTCAGTTCCTTGTGGTTGTGGGACTGAGGTCCCCATTTCCTTGCTTACTGTCAGACAGGGTCCACTCATAGCTCCTAGAGGCCACCTGTATTCCTTGGCATGTGGCCCTTTCCATCTTCAAAGCCAGCAAGAGAGACTCCCTGATGTCAGGTGTCTCTCATGCTTTGAGTCTGTTTTGCCAGGAAGAGCCCTGTCTCTCATAAGCCCTGTGTCTACCTGATTAGGTCAGGCCCACTAAGGAGAATTCTTCATTCTTAAAGTCAACTGTACCATCTATCCTCCACTCAATTGGGGGGGATTATACAAGGGTATAGGTCATCTAGAATTCTGTCTATCACAGTCAGCTATAACTGTTACTAAATTCTCAGAGGCGTTGCTCGGCTCTTACAGATGATTCTGACCTTGACTGTTACATATCCAACCGTCACACCCCCAGGCTGAGCTAGCATGTGCCCCTGGGTGCATCCTCACATTCCGTGGGCCTGTCCTCTGGCCACCTGAGATAACTCAGATTCTGAGCTGGTGAGGGACAGTCGGGGGTCAGCGATGAGGCCCATTCTTCTACTGCCTTCTCCCACCCAGCTGTGCTCTCCATTCTCATCCTTTCTCTGGGGGCATGACAGGGACTGTGAGATGACCAAAACCCTGGTCCATGCTGGCTCAAACAGAGAACTCTGTATCTTTATACTACTGGGTTCTGGAAAGATCTCCCACCCTTAGAAAGATGACCATCTCCATAAACTGGTCCCCCAGCTTTTGCTCCCAGCCCCCTACAGTCCATTCTCTACTCAGCAACCAAAAGGATCCTGTAAAGCAACTAAGCCAAATCATGTCCCTACTCTTCTCCAAACTCCCATGGCTCCCACCTCACTGAGACAAAGCTAAAGTCCTCACAGCTGTCTATAAGGCCCTGCATGGTTTGGGCCTTGCTACCTCTCTGGCCTCAACATCTGCTTTTCCTTGCTCCCTCCAATCCAGCCACACTGGCCTCTGTACTGTTATTTGAACACACCAGGCATGATCCAACCTCAGGGCCTTTGCACTTGTTCTTTCTGCCTGGAGGCTCTTCTTCCAGATATCCATGTGACTCCCTCTCTCACCACCTTCAGGTCTTTGGCCAAACATCTTCTTAGGGGAGCCTGCCCTACCCTCTGCATTTAAAATCACACCCCATGCCCTACACACTTTACCCACTTTCCTGCCTTACCAAATGGTGATAAGCGCTGTGGTTTCTGCAGGCGACCTGGCGAGCCTCCCCTGGACCTGGGTCATATCCCCTGGTTGGGCTATGCCTTGGAGTTTGGAAAAGATGCTGCCAGCTTCCTCACCAGGATGAAGGAGAAGCATGGTGATATCTTTACTGTAAGTACCTCTTGTGCCTCTTGGGAGGGAAGGGGATGAGCAGCTGGGCCTGTCATACCTCATGTTTACTGATTCCCCCAGCATCCCTCCATGCACTAACCCACTCATTCAACATCCATCCAGTGGTTCCGCCAACTTTCTATCCATGTCTTTCCAACTGTACCCCAATGATTGTCTAACATCTTTCCCTTCGTTATCCGTCTAGTATCTGTCCCACATCGAGCTATGCAGTCATCCAATATCCAATACTTCTACATCCGTCTAACTGACTTCTATCCATTCGCACAACTTCCATCCGTCCAGTGTCCACCCATCCATCCGTATAACACCTATCCTTTTGCGTAGCTATCCAATATCTAAGTAGCACCCTTCTAGCCTAATAGCCACCTAACATTCATCTATTCCATTTCCATTGAGCCTCCATCTGTCCACTCATCCATCATCTTTCTCTGTACCTCTCCAGCATTTGCCTGTCCTCCATGTGTCCATCATCTGTCCCTCTATGTCTACCCACATTTATCCAGCAATCTCCCACTCATGTACCTAACATCCATCCAACTTATTTGTATATTCAGTTTCCACCAATTTCCATTCTTCCCCTTGTCTCCCCGTGTTTCCATCCGCGGCCACTGTTCACCCAGTGTTGTTACCGATCCATTTGATACACGTGTTTATATCTGCATCTCTCCATCCCTTCAACACCCGAACAACCACCACCCATTCATCCACCTCCCATGTATCCTTTTAACTTCTGTTCATCTGACATTCATCCTTCAGTCTGTTTACCCGATATCCACCTAGCATCCTGCCATCCATATACCCAACATTCATCCATATAGCTGCCTATCCGTCCATCCATCTTTCCAGCCAACATACATTCAGTGACCTGTCCTACCGTTTGTCTCCCCATCTGACAATCTATCCAATAGCATTTTTCTTGGATATTGGCCTGTACCTTATAAGGGAGTTTGATTAATGTGACTCACAGACCATACTTTGAAAACAGGGCCAAGGCAGTTAGAATTGTGTGACCCCTGCACAGACATTGGAGGGAGAATGCCCTTACCTTTGTTGTCTGCAGGATTACAGCTCTCTAGTGCTGTTTCCTTCCCTTCCGGGGCAGCATGTTACATACCGAGCTCCGCCTCCCAAAGAGATGGGTCTTGTTTGCACATCCACTAGTTGTTACCCAACAG